AGAGCCCTGGCACCGTTACCAGGACGCAGCACAGAGACGGGGGACACACAGCAGGTACCACAGACACAGACACTGCCAGGAAGCAGCAGTGAAGGAGCCATGCCGAACCAACCGCAGCCCGGCGCCACCAGACATGGACACAGCCAAAGCCTCGCCCACGACCCGCCGCCATGGCAACAGCCAGACACAAGCACGTCAGGCCAACGCCCGCCGGCCCAGGACCAGCAGCCCCAGGCACAGCCACAGCCACACTACCAGCAAGGGGACAACCACCGCCAGCCGGCGACCCCCGCTGTCCCTCCCCAACCACGGCAGCAACAGGCACCTGCAGGCTGGAAGCAGAGCCCACCCACAGGCAGCACGCCAGCAGCGCAACACCCACAGCCTTTAGCTGACAGCAACCAACCAGGAGCACAGGGGGACTCCCCGCCCCAAGCAGCAGCGGTCGCAGAACTCGAGGAAGACGGACCCAGCACAGGGGGACCGGAGGAGAGGCGCCCTTACCACGAGGGGGCAGGAGATCAAAGAATGCGGGGGAAACGATACAAAGCTGCAGTCCAGCTGTACTACAAACAGAAAGGCTGGGTCAAGCAAGACCACCAGCATTGGAGGGACTTAGGCCCAGCAGTGGGCCTATTTGAGGAGGACAGCGAAAGTGAGTGGTCCAAGGTACTCACGAGAGAACGGCCAAGGCGGTGGCCACAGCCCACAGCACCCACCCTGCCAACCAACTGGGGGGACCTCCTCAACCGTCACCTTCTGCCAAGGGACGGGGACAAACAAGCAGCCCAGCAGCCGCCAGCGAGCCATGAGGAGCAGCCGCAGCAACCACAGCAGGGGACAACAGGGGCAAGCAGCAGCAAGCGGCAACAACAAAGGACAGCAGCAGGAGGCAGTGGCGAGCCCAGCACCAGACGACGAACCCCCACCCAGACCACAGCCGCAGCACAAGCAGAGGAAAGCAGCATGGAGGGGAACTTCAACCATCTCCTCCTCAGCCATGGCAGAGGGCAGAGACCGACTACAGCTCCCCGAGAACTACCCATTGGGCGAGGGGTCACTCTCCACATGCGCTCGGGGCCCTACGGCATCTGGGCCGCGGTGACCACCTACTCGGGGGCTACGTTCGCAGCAGACTACAGTCACCAGCCAGCCCGCAGCTACACCAGAGCACGACAGACGCTGAGGGACGATGAGCCAGAGCCGAGCGCCTACATTGGGGTCAATACAGCGTTCGCCCTCCTCCCATGGAGGGACATCCAGCAGGGCGCACCAGAGAAATTCCTTATGTGGGTCACAGCCACAGGGGGACACCGAGACCCGGATGGGGCTGAAATGCAGCCGGGAGACGCTTACCTCCTCGAGTGGGACAGAGCAGAGCAGCGATGGCGGCCAGGCAACCTTCCTAGGAAGGTCACGCAACAATACTACTACGACTGGGGGAGGCACAGAGGCGCGCCAGCAATCACCCGACCGCCACCCCCGGGGGCAACATACCCACTGGGGCAATGGGAGCAGATGGCCCTGAACCTCATCCCCAGGCCGTACGCCTTGGGGGGACAAGCCAGCAGCAGCAGCTGGGGCACAGCACCGACACCGCAGCCGCAGCCAGCACCCGCCCCGCCCCCGGAACTCGGACAACAGCGTAGAAGAAACACAGAAGCAGACCAGCCTTCGCTCATGCAACAACAAGTAGCTCAGACGCAGCTAGATGACACGTTAGGGCAGCCGAGCCATGCAGCTGGTTCCTCTACGGGGGCCCAAGCGGCGCCACCGGCAACAGGGGCCCTACCTGAGGAAGTCGCTTTGATGTTGCGCTGGCTCCGCGAGCTGGCTGCGTGGACGGCCCAACAGCAACTGCCGATGCAGCTGCGCTACGAACTGGAGTCAGCTATGGCCGTCATAGGGGACTGCCTGCAGCACGCCAGGCAGCAACAAGGACCAGAGCTAGGAAGGGGGAGAAAGCGGAAGCCAGAGAACCATGTCCGGGACGCAAAGCTCAGACTCCTGGACATCTGCGAGGAGGGGGAAGAAGACCCCAACCAGCACCAGATCTACGAGGACCTCAACGCCATCAAGAGGATGCTGAGGGAGGGGACAGAGCAGTTCCTTCGTACCACCCAAGGGAAAGGGGGCACACTCCTCAAGCAAGGGGGAGAAGGCCTCCAACAAGCCTTGGCCGCAGTGGAACGAGCGCAGTCTTCCACCGTGGAGGGAGACTTGGACTGGTGCACCAGTGGCTGGGGGGCAGCAGTGGCAGTGCTTCTCGAGGAGGCGCAGGAGGCTATAGGCGAGAACGACGAGCTGCAGTTTGTCCACAGCGCGGACGTGGTCGGACTCAGTCAAGGGGGCCAAGAGTGTCCTCGCCGACCGACAGACCCGAACCAATGCCTGGAAGCAATCCTAGGGGACATCCGGGCAGCCCTCGGATTCCTGTCAGCGGGGCCACACTCGCAAGTCCTCAATGTGCTCGCGGCCGTCGCAATGTGGCAGTCGCAACAAGCAGCCTACAGGTGGAGACGCAGAGCACGGAAGGGGGCGACGAAGCAACAGCCTTGCCGACTACCACACTTGGAGAGCACAGGGGGGCCAAATGGGTCCCGCCAGTGGGCGCCGAGCAGTGGTCGGGGAGCATCCCCAGCTCCGCGGACGACCAGGCAGCAGACCGCAGCACAGACGAAGGGGGGCCCACCGATGCAGAGCTGCTCCAGGCCATGGAGGAGTACGAGAGACAACAAGAAGAAGAGGACATGGCAGAGGCAGCGCAAGAAGCTGGCTCACTTTTCTCACGACGCCGTACTGAGGGAGGGGGCACTGAGAGCCATAGACGACGTAGGCTGCATGCGGGGGAGCCTTGAGCCGCAACCTTGAGCACCTTGTCATGTGGGTTAGGTAAGTGAGCTGATGTGCAGGCTGGGAACACGGGCTCAGTACAGAAGGCTCCCGCGTAGACCAGTAGGGCACCGAAGCAGAGGGGACATAGGGGAACAGTACTGTTAGGCTGCGCACTTGTACTAGTGGCATGTTGCATGTTGTTGTGAGAGTGTCGCCTCGGCCGGAGCCTCAGTGTACAGTTTTTGCCAGAGCAGCTACAGTTGGGGGCTACCTTCAGCATTAGGCTATCACGCTGCAGTTGGGCACAAGTGAACTAGTTGCTGCTCGGAGCCAGGCAGTTCCGGACCAGTAGCATAGTAGGGGGTCACTTTGCAGTGTCATGTGCTGTTGTCGTGCAGCGAGGGGTCACCGGAACAGCATGAGTTGTCAAAGCGGCAATAAGCTGCGAGCCGACAGCCAGAGCAAGTTGTAGCCCCAGAGACGAGGCCGGTGGGTACTTAGTGTACGGGGATTTAACAGGGGGGTCGCGAGCTCTTACACATCGGCCTCATCGGGGAGCAGATTCTCACAACAGACAAGAACCCAGTGCGCGTTCGCGTGCGGGAGGGGGGACGGCCTCCCTCTTTGGCTGTGCTGAAGAAGAGAGATAGATAGACAGGCAGGTAACGGTAGGTAGACAGTAGACAGGTAGGTAGATAGACAGATAGATGGACAGATAGACCGCGGCCCATGCACCGAGGCCATCAGATCCGGTGGATAGCGCCGGATGCTAGCATCCGCCTGCCGCGGGAAAGGAAAGAGAGAGACTTAGACAGGCAGATAGACTTAGATAGATAGATAGATAGATACATAGAGAGAGAGAGAGAGAGAGAGAGAGAGGGAGGGAGAGAGAGGGAAGAGATAGATAGATTGATGGGTAGATACATAGATGGATTGATGGATTGATGGATGGATAGATAGGTATATAGTTAGATAGACTGACTGATTTAGATAGAATGAACGAAGACAGCGAGCATGACATGGATAGTCAGACAGACAGAGAGAGAGAGTGGGAGATAGATAAATAGATAGACTTAGATAGACGTAGATAGGTTTTAGATAGATAGATTGATTGATTGACTTAGATAGACTGAACAAAGACAGCTAGCATAAGATAGGTAGCCAGACCGACAGATACAGAGATGGGGTTCTACCCTGGCAAAAGAAAGTTTGATGGATGGATAGACTTAGATAGCTTTTCGATAGAAAGATAGACGGATTCAGATAGATAGACAGGTTTGGAATGACTTAGACAGATAGATACATAGATAGATGATAGGTACATAGATAGATAGATGAGTGGGGAGATAGATCGAGAGATACAGATGGAAAGATGGACAGACGGCAAAGCGCACACACGGGTAAGACTATGTCCTGTGTTGCAATGTATTAGTTATGTTCTAATGCATTCCGGCACGGGGAGCATGCGGTGCTAAATCACGCACACAGACACACACGCGCGCGAGCCCGCCCGCACGCACACACACACACACACGCACACACGCACACGCACACGCACACGCACACGCACACTCACACACACACACACACACACACACCCCTGCGGGCACGCGCACGCACACGCGCATGCGCTGGCATCCATGCGTCTCGCAGCAATTTTCTGCTCTTTGAACCTAGGAAGCGGTTCACATGGATGCCGAGATTATGAGAGCTGGATAATACGGTAGGGGCCAAGGCTAGGATGGGCCATTTCTAATTACTAGTGCATTTTTGGGAAACGATTTGGCGCTGAATGTAAGGAGTGTTAGGGGTTGCTTGCTTCGAGTTCGGAGTTTCAGAAATCGTGGCCTGCTGCAAAGCCGCTTCATGTAGAACGCCCTCCCCCTCCCCGGCCCCCTCCGAATCACTAGAATGCGCCGTGAGGACGTCCTCACCATTCATCTGTACTAGTGTAGAACCCCTAAACCCTCGGCACACATCCTGAAGGTAACCCCTGTAGTCAGGAAAGTTATCAACAGCGGCATCAGCTTAGCATCTTCCCGGGCCCCTGAGTTGGTAACAGTGCCCCCTTCTAGTGTATATGGAACTTGAGATTAAAAGCGATCCAAAACCGTATTCCTTCTTTCCAACTTAATTGCCTGCTAGCGCCTTCCTTTGGCGATGCAATGGATGCTTTGGACGGCTTGTTGCCCAGGCTCCTCCGGGTGGTCGGTTCTTCGCGTTTTGAACTTCGGAGCACATGCTCATGCATGCGAAGCACAGAAACGGCTCTGTGCCAGGAGGCGAAATTGCTTCAAGCCAGTTTTTGAATGTTTTTGACTTTGCTGAACGCAGCTTGTATTGCGTAGACCAGTGCATCCAACAGGCGTGCGCGGAACAGAGTGCAGAACATGCCAAAGGCTGCACATCTTGCGCTGCGTTTGCGGCGGAGCAGAGCGGCTCCCCTGCGCCAGCCTGCGGGCGCTTGCAGCTGCCGGTGGCTGAGGAGTGGACATGAAGGGCCTGGTAGTACCTGTATACCACTAAGTCACTAAGTTGTAACTCCTCTGACCCTTCACGCAAGCATCCGAACTGGAGCACATTTCTCGAACATCTGAGCCCAAGGGCTAATGTTCCAGGCTCCGCCGGCAAGCATGGATGCTGAGGTCTCCAAGGGCTGGCACGAGCTCAGCCTTTGTCCGGAGCCACTCAGCGGATTGATGCCCTTGACATGCTGCATGCAGTTGTTGAGGGATGGGGGCCATTGATTCAGATTCTAGCAGGTTTAACCTCCTCGCAGCCGCCACGGTTAAGAAGTGGCCGAGACTGTGTGTGTGTGTGTGTGGGTGTGTGGGTGTGTGGGTGTGTGGGTGTGTGTGTGTGTGTGTGGGTGTGTGTGTGTGTGTGTGGGTGGGTGGGTGGACCACCTGTGTGCCAAGGTCTGAATTTTTACTAGTGCAGGGGGATGCCCCACACCTGGAGAGTGGGCTTCTAACAAAGAGGCTCTTCAGAGTGTGC